TCCATTTGCGCCAACTAGCGCATCCATCTCTCTCGTTCGTTTTCCCGTAGCCCGAGTTATCAGCAAGTTTCCACTTTAACTAACAACAATTCGGTAAGCAAACAATTAAGCTCGGAAAGTTGGCGCACGAGTTCCGTTTGTCAGGGGCTCGTGGCTCTGTCACAAAGGAGCACGAAATTAAAGTATTAACGAGCCACGACGTTTCCTCGTGGGTCTTCTTGCCAGATAAGATACTGACAGGTAGAAACTAGTTTCGTAGCCCATGGAGAAGGGTTCCTCTTGCTACCTAACCCCAAGCTGACTAGGCTGGCTGGACGTGAATTCTTTATGAGCTTGCCATGGCATCGTGAATTCTCGAGATCTCGAGCTCGTCTACGCGGCAGTTAGGCTTATCTGTTATCCAGAATTGCTAATGGCCAATCGAACTTATCCTCTAAATTGGCTAAAATACGGCTAAATTTGAATTATCAGGCTAGTTGATGTCTTATGGGATCTGGCAGGTCTTGGGTATTCTTAACCATCAAATCAATCACCACTTACATAGCCAAAGAATTTTCAAGATGATACATTAATTTTGAGATATTCTGTATAAGGAAACTTTCATGCGGGGAAGTGTGACTATAGAAAGTTAGCAGCACTCTGTTTCACCCTTAATCTGTAGTAGAATCAGAGACGCCGTTGATGCACGACTGTTATGGTATTATCGCGAGTACAGCCATTAGCCGCGGATCAATTGCATTCGAGTAAGTCCTATCGGTGATTACGGGGTCGCGTGGAAACTGAGCAATCCTAGTACGATCCGACGGAATGCCGGTAATTCCTAGGATGCGCTTCCGCCGTTCCAGCCTGCATACTGGCCGAGTGTTCGATTCGCGAGTCCGCTTTCGTTCCCTCCTGGATCGATCACTTTCCACTCGCTGCATTCGGGCCAGAGCTCGCGAAACGATCCTCGTTTCGACGGATACTCGCTGCTATTAAAGATCGACCGACATAGGAACCGCGTCGAAATACAAGGTGTGCCATTTCTCACGACTGCCTTCGATATCTCTGTGGCTACCGAAGATCGCTTGCTTTCGGCTAGGAAGGAACATCGATACATTCTATCAGAGCAACGTGTTACGTTACAAAGATACAAAGATGATATTACAAAGGAATACTTTGTGGTTCCAATCAATTACAGACTTTAACGATCATAAAAGTATCAAGATTACTCAAGAGTGCTTTGTGTCGGCTAATTAAAAGGGAATGTTCCCGGTGGTGCTTTCCTTTGTTTGAGTCAGGATATAAGTATTAGAATATCGTGTTACTTTGAAAGGTTGCTCTGATACTTATTCCTCTTCTAATCCAAACAAATAAGGGCGGTATGTTATTTGAGATGCTTAACCCTAAAGTAGTCAGTTGGGGTGTCACACACTTCACTCAAATTAACTTCCCTTGATGGTTTAATATACATACGTTAGTATAAAATTATTATCTGAAGAAGTTTCCATTTAATATTTTTGCATTAAAAATTTCAAATCTCTACGGGTACAGTGGGTTGAGGTATCACATATCATTGTAATACTGATTTGATGCACACCCGTTGCAGCATCGTTCATCCTAGCCCCTACGATATTGGACGTTCGAAAGTTCGAACTGTTCCTATTTACTGAGATCCATTCCCTGCATATGAATAAACAGACGCTCCGAGGCGGGGAAATGCGCTTTACTCGGATGCGGGACTATGAATTATTGAAGAGTATAATTGTGTTCGATCGACGCTCGTTCGATGCAATCCCGGACGAGTTGTTTTACGGTTTAACTGTACGTGCGTTGAAATTAGGATTTTTTGGATTTTTTGCCTCAGTTCGCCGTTATTGTTGACATTAGATTTACGAACGCGACACGACTGTTTGATCAAATACATTTTGTACTTGCTTTTGCTTAATGTCTTTGGTTATTTTGTAATCGATGTTTCGGGGAGTAAAAAGAAATAAAAAGAAATTTTTAGAAGAACATAAGACTGAACATCTATGAAAAATTTTATAGTTAGGAAAATTAAAAGGAATCTCCCCGGTGCCGGGCGTGTAATAATTGAATCACACTATACAAATCTGTGTATAGCTCGTTGACGTTCAACACAATACCCTTTCGCGATGTTGACCCACAGAAGCTCCCGTTTCTTTGAACTTATTTACTGGGCGTATACGATAGCGCTTGTATCCGGTATGAGTGGGCTTCTCGACAAACCACGTTTGAACAAGCAGCGCAGCGTGTCGTAATTGAATACGAATATAATTGAAAGTTCTTCTGTTCGCCGCGATCATGTCTCGGATAAAACAGGCTGGAGAGCCACTCGCCGAACACTGTGCTTTGCGAAACGACGCAGATCGGTGAGATTGTTTCCTCTTCTTCTTTCCGAGTCGACATGAAATTCTTCGATCTTTCATTGATCCCCGGAGAGATTAATTGACCTTTCTCTATCTCCACTGGATTCCAGCAGACCACCGCTCTCGAATAGCGTTATACTATAGCTTGATCAAGGAAGACAAAGCGAAGCGAAGAATCCATTTCTCAAGTTCGATTTGTCGGTTGATTTATATACGTCGAGTCATGGGGTTTCGATGTCGAGAATCATTAGAACAGAGCCGGTCGAATTGAGCGAGAAAGGGGAATATTGCTGATCAGACGCTTTTCATTGCTATTAAATATACATTCGTACATTATGAACACGATAATTATTCATAGAGATGCAGAATCAAGATTATTTTAGTCAATCAAATTCTTATTACTCGGGAATATAATATTGCAAAACTAAGAGGAAAAGGTATAAATAGGTAATTATTTTTTAACGACGTCATTTGGAACATCAATTATTTTCGTTACAATGAGTACGCTTATCGATGAAAGCAAAATAACATTTACCTGTCAGTAGATGGTACTGATTTAATAAAAAGATAGAAGCTGACATAATGAACTCGATATAATCTGTAGATTAAATCAAAATTATGTGCAATCGTGAGACTACAATGAAGTTTTTCATTAATTTTATTGGCTCGTGATACTTAAAATGATATTTACATTTATTATACTGTTCACGTAACAAACTGTTATTTTACATTATTCTTTGCACCTTACCACGTATCGTTTAAGCTCGACTAAAACAATTTCCATTTACGAGAGACGCTCCGTACACTTTGTCGTATCAACGTTTCCGGTGTAAAGCTCTTGAAATGGTCGGCATTCGTGGAAAATATATTCAAAGGGTGGGTGGAAAGGAATTAAGAGCGCGATGAACAGTTAATTGTTCGTCCGCGAACAAAATGCAGTTAAAATTTTGTTCCCATCTGGGCAACACTTTCTGCAATGCATGCGATAAAGGAGGACGCAAATAATTCAACCGGCTGCATAATTAGCCCGGTCCGTTAGATTTAACGAGGGCAATAACGCCACTTCGTACTACGACCACTTAGAATATTAAACGATAAAGCACCGACCCAGCCAGCTTTACCGCCGATAACTGTTGGTCGTGTCCACTGGCACTGGCCTCTTGTCGCTTTGATCTCCGATAAATTTTCTGTAAAATATCGTATGCAACGTTAAGAAAAGGACAGCCACGTTTTAACGACTTAATTACACTTGGCTCTGGATAATTATCGCGTCATTCGCGAACCGGATGCTCGAAAGCTGCCTATGGTTAATCTTACAGCAGGTAATATTGCATTGTAAGAGGATCCATTTGTGTCGTTATAACTGTTACAATTTTTCAGCAGGCTAAATTAGCTGAAATTTTATAACAGGGTCTAAAAGTTGATTACATTTATTTAGAATTTTTATTTGTACGAGATATTTTCATTGGTGCGACTAGGATTTTTATTTGGCACTGGGAGAAATTTCCTAACTTAATTTTTAGAAAAGAACACTTTTTATTATTAACTAAAATGGCATGATTTTGTTGGTATTTAGAAGCTAGCAACGTGAACATGCTCATGAAGGGAACATTGATTTATAGTTACGGATAACGTTGTTCTTTCATCAATCACGTATTATAATACCCTTTTAACACAGCATGCAATGTTTCTTATCAGAACGTTTACCAGGTTCCATTTTAATAATCCTTTATCGTTTCTTTCACGCCACAGGGGTCGCTTGTAATCTCGTGCCTTTTTCTTGTTACCAGTCGTTGTAATACTTAACGTTTGAAAGAATTTCTAGAAGTCTTGCAGCTACGTGCCTTATCTCCAACTCGAGTTTTCTCTTTTAATTTTATCCTCCGTTTTATGGGCCGAGATTTGCTTAAATAAACTGAAAGAAAAATTCTGTCCAGCAAAGTCTAACAGTTCCTGAATTTTACATAATAAAACAGAGTAATTTCTCTTTTCTATCGATGATTGTGCCCATACATCTCTGAAAATTGTTGGAAAATTATTGGAAAATATTTGGAAAATGCTTGGAAATTTTTTAAAAAATTTCTTCGAAAGTTATCAATTTCTCTGAATGAAATTTCTATCATATTTTGACCAAACGAGTGTCATTTTCTCCCCGAGGATAAGCTTGTCCTTTTGAGTAATCCCCTCGCGATTTCTCCTTACGGAGAGGTGTTCATAGAGGAAACCCAACACGGACTTTCGTATCAATTTCGAGTCGGACAAATTGAAATGACACACGCGAGGCTCGGATAAACTTGCTCCATTCTTTATTAGCGGTTTGATAGGGGCTTTGCACTCGATCATCGTAACGACGTTCTCGCGTATCAACAGCTGTGCCACGTATCACTGACGGAAACTAATTTGCACGTAACCGTGTGCCGGTCTTATCGGAGCACCCTGGGTGCCAGTAAAAGGGTGATTACGCTTCCTTGAAACTGATACCAGTGCGGAGTGCATCTGCATGCTGCAATGTATTATTCAAGACCTCTTACTTTTTCACCGGCGAAAAAGTAATATGCCTATCGTAAAGTTGACCGATCGTGCTGCAATGGAAAGAAAGGAATGGGCTGAAGAAAAAGACGTCAGACTTTCTTGATATAGAGAATTCAATTTTATTTGTCAAAATTTTTGATAAAATTTTACATTTGAAATTTTCGAATAAAACATCACATCCCCTGTAGACATGTGAAAAGTACAATACATAGAGTAACCAGTGACGTTGTTATTTTATACGCTCGGTGTATCGAAAATGACTTCAATCAACAGAGAAATAACGATGTGGAATTCTCGTTCGGAATAGCGACAGCTCAAAAGACTGTTTTGAATTAATTGCGGGAACGAACTGTCCGGGTGTCGGTTGTCTGCAATTCGTTGCCGATCGCATGCAACTTCTGTTGTCGCTAATTATTATCCATTGTCAGTGGTAGATAATTACGATTAAACCGTACCTTTCATTGGCATCGAAACGACTGTTAGCGTGGAATCAATAAACGTCACGGTAAATTTGCACTTTTCTCTGCGATTCTGTGAGCGAGATCGAAACGGGGACTTTTAATCCTCAAACAGCAATTAAAATTTTGTAAATATTTCGATCGCGAAAAAATATTATTTGCCTTCTGTTAAATTGATAATTTAATTAAAAATCTACAGTCTACTGAAATTTGCTCAATTACTCGTTAAATTAAACAGTAACTTCAGTTCGAAACATTGATCGAAACAAATGAACGAATGATCGATCAAAAGTTTTTTTTTCGACATCTATTAACGTGATAAATTCTCGGCGTTTATATAAAATGTTTAAAGATTGTCGCTGACTAGTCGACAAAAATTTCAAGTTTTAATTATTCTGATCGTGGACGGTGGACGGTTTAATCGTTCGGTAATGGCTCGAAAAAGAGGAAGGGTGACGAAGAAATTGTCGAGGAGAAAAGTTCGAAACGTGAAACCGATGAAAATTGCTGCTCTAATCGTGTCCGCTATTCAAGACCTTCGTGAGACCAAAGGATCCACTACTAACAGGATCATAGGTTACATAAACTACGGGACGAATATGGGTGAGGGACAGGTTAAACGACAAGTGAGTGGTTTCAAGGTGATAATTGTGACGTAGAGAAACCCTTTCGAAGCAAGCAATTTCGAGGAGTAATTTTGGCCGAGTTTAGAGTCATTCAAAGCTTTCGTTCCATTTCGTATTAGTTTGAGCTACGTGTTACAGAGTTAAATATATCTGATGTATGTGAAAATTAGTTGAAATTTCGGTGGAATAAAATTTTGTTCGATTTGTTTTATTTTGTTACAATGTTTCATAGTTTGTGTCAGTTCAATCTTGCATTGAAACTTTGCTTTTTTGATAAGCTTTATTTATGAAATATTTTCTGTATTCTATTTGTACGTCTATTAAGGATAATCTGAAATATCAAATAGAAAATATTTTAAATAGAAAGGGAAATTTCAGCAAACAATTTTATTGGGAAATAAAATAACTACCAATTAGCTAGTAATTATTAGAAAAGGATTCGAAGTAAATGAAGCCGGTATCATTTAATGACACTGTTCCCAGCTTAATTAGAGGGTAAAAGATCGGTAGAGTGTATAAATCTAGGTAATCGATAATTACAGGTAAAAGCAGCGTTGAGAAGGGGAGTCGAGTATGGCATACTAAGAAGGCACCGGGGTCACTATTTCCTCCCTATGTCCGATGAATTAGATCGTGCAAATCGCATTGCCTTGAGATTCGCTAAATTACCTTTGCCCTCTTCCAATTCCATCAAGTCAAACACGATCCCTTCCCGCAAAATCACGTCGGTGAAAAGTCAAAGGAAGTTGACCAGCTCTAACGTAGGATCACGGAAGACGAAACGATTCGTAAAACCTCGTTCACCTTTAATTTCACCCACAGTTAGTTTGGCGAACGCTGTTTGCGTTGCTGATCATTTGTAACTCGATCGACCGTGATTCTTAAAGAGTAATTTTGTTATTTGATACCTACTGTACGATTAGGTTCATCATTCTTGTGAATTTTATAATATATAACTAAATTGTGGTGATTATGATTAAAAGTATCCTTTGTCGAATAGAAAACAATTTTTATTTTTTAAATTTATCAAGTTGAAATATTACAAGATTTGACATTTGATAAGTAATAAATATGCAAAATCTTAGAATAATCATGAAAGAACGTATAATAAGAAATTGGTTATTCAGAAAAGTATCAAATAAGATTGAAATTGCGAAGAAAGTATAGGTTCGCCATTTCAAGAGGTCCAGCCATTTAAACGGCCCCATTGTCTGAAAGATTTCAATACCTTTCGAAGCTAAATAGAGAGTGGCTGGCGATTGTAAATGGAAGAGGACGTTAAGACGAACGAATCGTTTTCTATTACGATATATCAATCGTACTGGTACTTGGTAAGTCTGTGCAGAATCCTTTTGTTCTTCCGTTCGGCACACGGCCACGAGAATTAAGTGAAATGAGGGACGAGCTTCTTTCGTAGATTGCATCGAAGACGGTGGCCACCGTAGGATGCCATTTATAAAACTTAGCAGCTTCTTACGGTGGCACGATAAACTTAATAGCTTTCGAAATTTACGGGATTTGGCTCGGCGACGTGCATTTCGCAAACGAAATTCTGCTTACATTCATATACAGGCCGTTTCCAAACTGGAAACCTATAACCAAAAAAATGATAAATGAAAAAATAAATCCAAAGTGCATAGCGATATTTTTTATTTAAAATTACAATAACTCAATAATTTTTCTTTTTTCATTTTCACTCAATTTTACTGAAGAGAATGAAACAAATGACTGAAATGTAAAATGAACAGAAAGGTTACAATTCATTCGCTTTAATTAAAATATTTTTAGAGCACAGGTAGTAAAATTCATTGAAAAATACTTTTTCTCTTTTATTTCAAACCTGATGGTAACAGAAAACATCAAATGAATATTAATAACAGCGAAGTTATATTTGAACTCTTGTACTCGGATCTTGTTTTTATTTAAAAAAATCGTGAAATTTAATTTTGTTATGCCTTTGATGTTGTCTATCGCTTTATCAATTTACGAACAATTCGTTTATTCACGTTTCCCTAGTCGCGGCAGCTATTTATTTACGTTGCTTTGAAATTTTATAGCGAATCGTTTTCCAATAAAAGGAATACCACCCCTTTGATATTTGAAGATCGTATTCGAGGTTGCTTTTTTCGTTCAAATTTATATTTACTTCTACCGTGTTCTCTAGGAAATTGCTGTGTTCGCTACAATAATCATAGACACGACTTCAAAGAAAAAAAAATAAATGACAGTAAAAGCAGTCATGTCAGGTAGTGAACAAAACAGTAAGAAACATTATGGATAACATATTAAATTAACTATGCAATTTCAGCAGTATTTAATAGTTCCTTTCTTCTTCCAATTTCAATTATTTTACTAAATTAAATTCATAACGCTGGTCATCGATAACTCTGATCGAGGTCGACGGATTAATCAATCAATCAAAGAATATTCAAATTCCTATTAAATTATAATAGAAGGAAAATGAAATGGATTCTGTATATTTCAAAATTTGCGATTCCATTTTTATTCCTTTTCGTTTCACTATTTGCTGAAAAATCCTACCAAAGGAAAAAGGTCCAGTTTTATAAATAACAAACAGATAATGATTGGTGTAACGCGATATTTTCTCTTCCGTTTATTTTCTCGGCATTTTATGGAAAATATTTGTTTCGGTGTATCAGAGATGCAAAAACATAGAGAGAAGAGGAAAAAATTGTTATTCATATACATGGTGATTCAAGCCAGGCTCGTTTAAATACGATGTAACCGGGAACGGTATCGTAAGGCCTTTAGGTGGCAACTAGCTTGCCGAATTACCATTTAAACGGATTCGAATTGTTCCTGGCTATACGTTGTTCATAGTTCGACTATGTTTTCGCGGATTATAGGCCGACACGGACTGCGTTGTTTCCCTCGAATTTAATGGAAATCGGCGCCGGTAACCTCGGACTAAATAATCTATTTTAGTTTCAAATGGAATACGTACCAACTAATTGCCTTCGAATATATTCAGCTTTACGATAAGTAAGACGTACGAGATATTTGTTATTAAAATAATCTTTTTTCAAATTCAAACTAGAAATTCTTTAATCACAAATTGAATATCTCTCTGGTCAGTTAGACTCTCAATATCTCATGAAGATGAAAGGACGAAACGCCTCTGTAGATGTTTCTGTTTTTCTTTTCACGGCAAAAATACCTATGTGGATATCTTGCATCAGGTGTTTCGAGAGAGTAATGATGGTATTTATCATTAGTTCTGCAGAGACGTGAAATTCACCGGGGTGAGGTTTTCATGTGCTTTTTCCTTGGAATGAATAAAAATGTTTGCTCCCTCGAGAACGAGGGGTATATGCGATAAAGAAAATCGACAAAATGTAACGCTTTCATTTTTCTGTCGTGCAACGTTCCAGAAGTTATGGATATTTACTGTTTTGTAATTTTAATGCGGAATCATCTTCAGGGTTATTTAGTTAATGGATCTAATTTTTCTACCGCTCCACCAAATCTTGTTCACTATTCTTTTTTTTTTTTGTAACATCTCTGTGTATGGTAAAATCTATCCATCTCTGAAATATTCCCGAGGATTTACGGGTTCGCTCTTGAAAGCATATTGCAGCCAGAAAATGACCAATGGCCGGCCGCTATGACTACTGGTTGCAAGGGGCTGGAGGCTATCAGACTAGCGAAGTGAATGGCATTAGTGCGAATTCCACGGTGGTGGTTGGCGGTTTTGCAATTGCTATTGCGTGGCTACACGGTTTCAGGATTCACCTCCCTTTTGTCGCGACCCAAAGACGATTGTTCCGTTCCGCTTTCGCTGCTTCAGCTTCGAAACGCGTCGAAAGCAGTCGCGTTTCGCTTTATTGTAAGAGTAAAGGAGAAGTTGTAAGAATCGCTTTTGAACTGGTTACTTTAACTGTAGGTACAGTCTGTGCTACGAATTTCATTTTATTCTATCTGATTTACTTTCGAGTTTTCTTACACTTCTTTCAGCATATCTTGGAAGAAAAATATCAGCGATAATTTACTATAAATCTTTTTTTTTAAATCCCTTGTATTCAGAGTCGACGCACATGTGCATGAAAACCCTTTTATTTATCTGAAGATAAACGCGTGTTGCTCGTGAGTAATTGTTACCACGCCGAAACCTGATGCTCGCCATTAATTAATTACACAATATTAATTCAGGAATGCATCGCTATCGTGAAATCGATAGCTTATTCTCTTAGAAATTGAAGACACCGGCATTAACAATGGCCGTGGAAAATTGGCGAGGTTCGGCGTTAGTTTGCACCGGGGGTAAATTAATAAATTTTCCTCCGGCGTTGGTGAAGCTTTTGGTAAGGTTGTTTCTCGTGGAACTCTCCGAAATGCAACGATATGGCTCGCGCAAAGTAATGGAATCATAACTGGCTACGAGCGAGTTGCGCACAGAAGACGATTGTCTCGCATTTCATAAAAGCTTACCGTTGCTGAATGCAAATTGCCACTTTGAACCTAGATGAGCTTGAAACCTTACAATGTATCAGGTGTACCAATGAGTAATCCACTATTTTTTTTTTCTCATAAGTTAAAGGTTAAGCTCTTCCTCTATTCTTTGGTAACAACTTACGACTCTTTGAAATCCATATTCTATTGTAGTAAGAAAAATGGCAATAGATAAACAGCTTGTATTCTGTACAAATATGTTCTTTTCTTGGTAGAAAGATGGTATAATATAGTGTATGCAAATATTGGTCGGAATTCAAATATTTGCCTGAGTGAAATTTATTTATTATTTAGACTAGTAGAGAATTCCAATTAACATTCAAATTTACGACAGCCAAATGCAGTGTTCAGTTAATTGCTTTCTCGTAATTAACAACTATACACAGAAGAAACATAATACAATTTCCTTTTTCGAGCTTGATGTGATTCAAGCTTGGCAATTTCACATAAACGGGCTTCAAAGCTCGCAAGCCAGAATAATTCGATTCGACTTTCATGCAGGTTGCTTATTAAAGCTACTTTGTTGATGTGAAACGAATTTTGAAGCACGTGAAATACATCAAGGGACAACCTTTGCTCGTTACGCCATTTCTCTGCACAACGAACCGTTATTATATTTCCTCTTGCAACAAAATGGGTAGAGCGAATGAAAAACTTATTCACGCGCAATTTAATTAAATTTTCATTTATATAATTCTGATTTTACATTGCAATCCTACCGTAACGAAAGGGATTTTCCGAAGCAACGATAGGTGTCAGCTGTCTCAGGTGAAACGAACGCAATTAAATCGTTCCAAAGGCGATCGTGTTTATTCGACAGGTTCGATCGTAAGGAATGTAATCATGGTAACGGAATGATACGAGGTTAAATCAGATTCCATGGTGCATTAGTTGGTGGGCTGCAAGCAACGCGATTAAGCTCTAAGTCCCCTTTTGTTGCACACGAGAAACGGTAGCATCCTGCTTCGAACGGCTCGTAGAGGAGCAGCCATGATAGAATAGAATGGAACTTCGGTCGCATTATGGCCCCCATAATTGTGCCACTTTGATCAGAAGCTATTGCCCTGATTTTCAAGTAATTTTATTAGATCATTTTATCTCCATTAATCGTTCGACTGTCCAAGGGGGTAGAATTAATTAGGCGTTACAAAGTTGCTCGATCAATTATTTAATCGATGATTCATGGAAGGAATAGAATCATTGTACGAGTCATTGATAAGAATTAATATCTTTTTTAACTTTGCTCTTTTCGAAATAGAAAGTGTAATTTGTTGTTAAGTTTCTAGCTGGTGAGAAAAGGAGTTCAATAATTTAACACGTATCGCGGTTGAAAGTTGTTTTTTAATTAAGAATTTAATTAACTTTGTAAATATACGTTGCCTTCGTCGAGCTAGAGAGCCAGAATTATTCGAAACGTAATTGCGGAAAGTAAGGGCAGTATTTTAACGCAGGCGGAACTTTCCTTAGCTCACGGTTCGGAAGGGATGTTTA